GGCCCGCGGGCCGCATCAGGACGCGCTCAGGATCACAGGTGCTTTTTTCAGCGGGGGTTGGGGACACGTAGACCTAAGAGAACTGGTTTCAGAGGAGGAGCCGGGGACGTAAGTAGAAGGAAGAAGCAAAACAAAAATCAAAACGAGAAGTTTCACACAGACTACAAAGGCAACTATGATTTTCAAAATCATTTTGAGGGTCGATGGTGGAATTTAAAGGAGTTAGAAAGTCTATGAACTACCATGAAAGTCAAGGTAAATGCGGCTCAAGCAGAAACGGCCAAATGGACGAACAGTAAAAGCTTCAGAGTCAACAGTGCTTTATGACTGACATATTCTTCAGTGGCCGAAGTCTCTGCCACCCAGTGTATGGTATTGTCATTATGGTATAACTAATACACTCTCTGAGCCTCAGTTTCCCCAATTCTAAAATAAAAATAGAGAAAACAGTCCACACATATCACTTGGTACAAAGTAAAGTATTACTACCGGGTTTTTGTTACAAGTAATAAGAATCCAAAAGGAAAGACTTTGAAGAAAATGACTTTAATTCTCTCTAAACTGCCTGTCCATTACCAAGTGCAGCAAGGATGCCCTCACCGCCCCACACAGTCGTCTAGAGGCTGGAATGCCTGTGAAAACCTTAGCTGTCACCCACCAAGGTATGCTTGCAGAGCATTGTGAGAACCAATGCCTGAAGTTTCTGGGTTACCATTAGTCCAACTCAGCTCCTCGTTAAGGTAGACATGGGGGTGAGTGGGTACTCAAAAAATAAGCCCTCTCTGTCCTTCTGATTTTAAGATAGCTAGCGTGTTTTCTGTTCATTGTATTTTGGCCATTTGCCTTTCCTTGCACAAGAAGACTGTGTTTGGCTTCCTGGATGATGTGGAGATGAGTTAAAGTCACATAGATAATGTTTGAATATCTTATGTTTGAATTTATATAAAGTACATTTAATGTGGTAAGGTTGCTCTCGTATGTGAGCCCACTAAAATGGCAACTGCTTTGTCCTATTTTCACTTTGAGTTGAGTGGCTGGTGGATGGGTGTCTCCACCTTCCTCAATCAGTGTGGATTACTAGGGTTCTCAGAGCATTTCCCTTAGAGGAGTAGTCTTTCAAAAAAGGTAAACTAAAACTCTATGATCAGGATTGGTTCAGAAAATTACCCAGCTCGGGAAAGGGAAATAAAAGAAACAAAGGTTGTGAAGTCCCTCTGTTAGAAATCCTAAAGTGGCTGCAAACCAAATATTAGCTTAGAGTTGTGACATGCATATTTAAAACAGCACACACACAAAGCTTTGAACCTAGCATTATGATAGTTAACAATAAATCACATCCATATGTTGTTAACGCAAGTACAAGGAAACAATTTTCTGAACTATTTTAAAGTTTAATGCAGTCAAATCATGAAGCTATGAGGAAATTATAATATCATCCAAGAGATTAAGCCACTGGCTTCATTTGGGGCCTTAAATAGATGATCTAGATTGACTTTTCATGAATCCACTTAGATAATTTCAAGCCTTCTTTAAGTGTAAAAATAAATGTCTTGACACTTTCATTTTGTGCACTTGTCACACAGAATCATCACTAACAGTATTTTTTAAAATTTTACTTAAAAAAAATATATGTTTTTATTGATTTTTTTTTTTTTTTAGAGAGAGAGGAAGAGATAGAAGCATCAATAGTGAATCAGCATGTACCCTGACTGGGCATCTAACCGGCGACCTCTTAAGTGCATGGAACAACACTCAACCAACTGAGCCACACCAGCAGGGCTAAAAAACATTACTTTTTAATCTGTCAGGTTCAGGGAGAGTTCTCTGAGCTTGATGGGCATATGGAAGAGATGAATCTCTAAGAGGTTCCATTTTGACTGTGTAAAGTGATATGAGGGCCACTTGGAGAAGATCTGGATGAGGG